TATAGATAATAACAAGTCATATGCCTGAGCCAAAAGTCAGCACTTCATCGACAATAACGCTTGGCCTCTCAAAGACCGATCAAGCCACTTCTGATCGATATTATCCCGTGGATGAAAGCTATAGGCAATAGCTTTGCCTCCACATCAAAGGAGTCTAGAGAGAGTTTAAAAAAAACCTGACTGAGGCAGAGACACAGTTCACACTTTCAAGGAAAAACTCAAATCGAATGAGACAGCACTGTCAAAACAACTAGAGTAACACTAATATGGTTGTCATATTCATGTGTATGATAGCAGAACAATGTCAAGAGCTGGACAACAAGGGCTGACCCAACTCTTTCAGGATATTCATGCTTTACTTAGAGAAAACTGACTGTAACTGTTATATGGCATGCCATTTTATATGGTTATGATATGAAGAATTATATCCACAATTTAACACAATCTAAGTAAGACTGCTCAAGTTTTGAGGATACAAATTCGAATACAAAAGGTCAACTTTGTAAATGAAAACAAACAAAAGATTTAAGTCCTTACTATGCAAACAGAAACAGCCAGCAAAGCTGTGCAGAGAAGTAGAAGACGATCAATGAACCGACAAACGCACTCTGTAGATATATTAGGTTACAGTGCTTACCTTACCTTATGAAACACAACTAGTAGGGATAAAAAGGTTCAGCATATTTCGAAATCAGCATATGTAGAGGTGAAATGCCTCTGTCTGCTCTACATTCTTACTCACTGTTGACCACTTCATACCTGGCCACAACAAAGTGTTTGCCTTGGTTTAATTCTAAATTATGCTTCACTGCAATATAGAACTACATGCCTATGCTGAGGCTGCACAATCCTCTAAATATGATATTTTAATAGTACAAAATATTTGAATTTTTTTTTAATCAGCATTTGGATCCAGATCAGAGTCAACAAAGGCAACCTGACTGACAATCGGGTTAATTTCTGGAGAAAGAAATTCTTATTTGGGAATAAAAGGGCTTTGTGTAAGAAGTGACATAAACATTAAAGTCCATCTCAGTTAAATTTATGTATAAAAAGTAATATATGTGATTCATAAGCATCTCATTTTCTGTAATATGGTACAGCTCACTGTAGTGATGATGTCATCTGAAGATAAATCCTCCACGGACTGTGAATAATGGAACAGCTCATAGGACAATATGACATCATAGTGATCTTACTGGAATAGAGGGATGTTTTCTGATTCAATGCAATGCACACTACATTCACATAAAAACAATTTGGACATCATATCTCATACAAATTATATGAGCACATTGTTGCGTGAAAAAAAAGTTGCTTATAACATCATGAATTTAGGTCTTGATGCCCAAATTTCCTTCCTTACATAGACAATCAGACCTGTCTCCTAGAAATTACGTTTATACATAACTAATTTGCAACAGCAAATACATTTTGAAATAAACGTAATGCTGACCACATTATGTTTTTATTAACATAATGATGAAATGCTGTCAACATATGGCAAGTTGCAAAGAGCAGATACTGTAAAATGTTCACCGAAAGCGTATTTGTTTTTCATCAAAATGTCCATTCTTGAAGTACAATATTAACTTGTGGTGACTACAGCATTATTTACATTTTTCATAGTTATGTATAGCCACTCACGTCACTTGGTTGAGGTTGGGGAAGATCATGGTTTAACACTGAAAAAGTCCATAGTGACTTCAGACACAATGTGTTTTTTTTTAACAATTAACCAAAACCATGATCTTTCTCTTATCGTAACCAAAGGGCTTTTGTTGTCTAAACATAACCATAGAAAGTAATCAGGATACAAACTCCAGTCTCTGGTTTCACAGTGACATGCTCTGTACACCCACCATCCACCCTGAACAACTCACAGGGACTTCAGTGTAGTTCATAAATTTATTGCTTCATTCATTCAAAAAAATGTTGCTTCTGACCATAATCCAGCCAGTGATTACATTTGTCACCACAACTGGGAAAACAAATAGGTAATATAAAAATGGAATTTCTGCGAGACAGGTTTGAGACAATTGACTTCATTGGTAGACACTCAAAAGTCCAAAATAGTGCTGAAACGATCAGTGGATTAATTGGACGACAGACAATTGGAATGGAAAACAATTTTGATAATCAAATAACTGTTTTAGCCACGTATCAAGGAAAAATGACAAACACACTTTTCAAATGTTATGATTTGTGTCTTATTTCTGTCATTGTAATTCAACATCTTTGGCTTTTTTTAAATTAAAGAATTAATTGAATCATCGTGACACCAATCAACATTTTAATCAATAAGAAAATATTAATCAGATGCAGCTCTACAGTTGTCCAAAAGCATAACTTTGGGTGGACATGAAATCTTTTTCTGTCAGAGTGGTCAGTTCCTGTGTTTTGAAACAGCTAAAAAATATATTCAAATAAATTAATTCCCAGTGGATTAACCTACAACAAGCTCCAAGGAGTAAATTATATCCAGCCCCTTTATTTGTAATCCCTCAGCACATCTCTGTTTGCTAGTTAACATACAGCCAAAGTGTGGTTTACAGCTCATCTTCTACATGCTAAATCCTGTGATTGACTGAAATATGCTCGCTTTAATTGCTCACACAAAGCTGTTCTACAGCAGTACAATTGTCCGTAACAACACTGCAGCACCACTTATCTTACAAAAGCCTTTTTGCCTTTATAACAGTTTTGCAACATGAAAATCAACACCCGCTCTGCAGCCCTATCTATAGGTTTTATTTTCTTGCTTTTATGCATATATTACACATGACATTATGTAATGGATAACTAATTTCCCTGTGGCACTAACATCCACAATCAGGCAGACTGATTAATGCTAAAATGATATTGTTGTTTGGCCAAGCCTAGTAACAAGTATGTGTAGATCAATTTTCTTCATAGAGTAATGATTTAATCAAAAATTTACAAATAGTTATTATTATCCTTCATAATTTGCGCAGCAGAGCTGGAGGCTGTTGCTCTATTGTATTTCCTCCCCCGGAGTCCAAATTAGTATCCTCCGGCTGGGCTGCAGCATGAATAAGATACCAGCAGGCTGTAGGGAGGGTGTTTGTCCTTCAGTGCAGGTGCTACTCAAAAAACTGTTCCAGGCTACAGAGATGGTGAGAAAGAGCAGAGGAGTGAAAGAGATATGCACAAGAGGACAGTGTCATGAAAGTGAGGACAGACCTAGAGGAAACGGTGGGAGGAGAAGGGGGAAATGGTGATGAAAACTTTGCATCTCTACTTTCAACATCGCAGCAAGTCAACATGCTGTGTGCATCCTCGAAGGCCTTATAGGTTTCCACCATGGCTCTCCGGGACCCCTCACTTCTCTAATAGCCATACATTATTCTCCTTTATCTAGCCTCATCCTCTGTAGCCCTGGTCATCACTCTCTTCCTCAGCTGCGCCAAGCCATTGTTCTCCTTCTCCTTCTGTCTGTTCTACACTACAAGCCCCTTCTTCCATGTTTATTCAGTTAACCTCTTTTGCATCATTAGTAAATCAGTTATAAATTCTAAGCTGTGTATGATTGCTTGCTTACTTTCTTTGACTACACAGGTTGTGATTGCTTATGTTTTTATCAAGGTGTACAAAAGTTAAATAAAGAGCCTACACTGGGGTCTTTTTAATCTCAGCATCTACTATCCAAATATTAACTTCTGGTTTCCTTTCAGTGGAATGCAAACGCAAATTTTTTTTTGTTATATTGACTCAATGATTATATATGACTGAGGTGACTAATCATGTTGAATCATGTTGAAGTATAGCCAAATATTGAATGGAAGTCTGAAAGATTTAAATCTTACTGTATCAGCCTATGAGGTTTACACCACCGTTAGTAACCTAATGCAGCTTGACATACTGTGTATTCCACTGTGGGTCGCATCAACTCCAGGGACAATATTGCTGTTATGAAAGAAACCAACAAAACAAGACTTGCACTAAACGTCCGACAGCCTGAAGAGATATCATATCACAAGTGGACGATGGCTATTGAAAAGCATTCTGCATGACTGGATGAGGACAGACGGTAAGGACATAACATTGTATGATGCAAAGCAGATCATGTGAGCCTGTCCCCAGCTCCCTCTGAACAATAAACAGCCAGACACAACGCCTGTCAGCAACTGCCCTCCCCTGTGGCTGGCACTGGCACAGAGTGGCACACAGCAGACACTAAAGGATAAAACAAATCCTCCACCAAATTTAAAATTCACATACCTATGAGCGTTATATTATGTTGAGGTCTTAAACAATTTAAAACCAGTATCTTCAACAGAGAGTATCATGGTGTACTTAGATGCAGGAGTGTAGTGTACCTCACACAGTTTTCAACTTCAATCTTGTGATGGCACTATGAATGGGGGGAGAATTCAACTGAATATGTCAGTCAAACGTTAGACAAGTATGAGGTAATAGAATAAATAGGATATAAAGAAAATTAGCAGATATCAGAGTTGAAAAAGCCATTTCCACATAGCGAACTCAGAGCAGCCTGCAAATGCCTAAGGTGCCGTTTAATAAAACGATGCAGGAAAGGAATTGGACCATTAAGGGCATCTAAAAATTAATGACCTTCCTAGTCTGATGAGACACTAAAGGCCTATGGCAATATAACTACAATCGATAATTTTAGGCGTAGACCAGGCTGTACATGGATGAATCACCGCGAATTGTAGCATTAGGTGTGAACAGACTTCCAAAGGCAGCTCCAATCTTTTAACGGGGATACCCAGTAATACTGTCTAAATTACATGCCAGACTTTCAAAACAGGAACGTTTTCGGTCAAAGCTCACCGCCCCGTTGTTAGCACCGACGCTGAGGACACATCCACAGGCTGAACGAACAGCATCCATCCACCGCTCCTCTGGGTGCCTTGGAGGAGGAAAACTATAGCCTCACTAGACGGAGCGGTGTTCATCGATGTTACCGATATTTAGCAGTATCATTATAACATTTTAATACAACTGTGTCTTACCTGGAGAATTTCATATGCTGGTCAAGTCACCTCCGTTTCAGATTTGTGAGGGGTGGTGCTGGCTGGTCGCACATCACTCAGGGTATGACTGAAACCGTAACGTTACGGAGGCACAGTGCCTGACAGCAGCGCCCCGGAACGAGTATAACATAATACAAGCCCACTGCAGTTGTCTGGTCCGTGAACACGCCGCCTGCACGAGAGCCCGCTACCCCACCAGCGCGAGCTCGACTGTTACTTATACAAACAGTAATCCGTTACTTAGACGTTACTACAAAAATAAAACTATATACCGGCAGCAAATACTCGAAGTATTAAACAATTACTTTTGCTGCAGTCACCCGACCCTAAGTTAACATAACCGTGTAAACGATAATTTGGTTTTAACTGTGTTTAATGTGGTGGGCTATAGACTTTGTATATGTTAGCAACGTAATTAGCTAGCTAACAGATGTTAGCTATATGACTAGCTAACGTTACCCAGTTTGGGTCTGTCATATATTGACATACATTTGGGTCACAGACTGGTATATCTAAAACAACGTTTCAAAAAACCCAGGTCGTTAAAAAACGCTGCTCTTCTGTCCACACTCATAATCCCCACTCTTCCACGAGGTCCAACAATGATCTTGTCCCTGGGTTTTTTGATTACGTCAACAAACCGGACAGGTAGCTAACTGAATTCACCGAAGCGTGATACAGGTAACTAGAAAATTTTACAAACTGACTGCTTGTGGTTCAATCCCTTTCATCTTCAGACATGTGATGAATAGCTCCTGTGCGTTAGATCCAACAGTGGCTGACCATTACGATGCCGGCTAGTTAGTTTGTCTGTCTTCTTGAGTAAATTCCTAGCTAGCTAACTAACTACAACTAGCTAATTCCCTCCCTCCAATGTCAGACTCATATACCTTCAATAAAAGTTTAAATGTTCAATTCGGTTTGAATAAAGCTTTGTAAATCATGATGAAATGAAGTTCCCTAGACTATATATTGTTTATTTTCATTGCAAGAGTATCCTAGCGGAGGGTGGTAACATTTGTATATAGATATCAATGACCCTGTGTTTACTTTCTTCATTGACACAGACCAAAATGAAAAGACTGCATCAATCAAAGCTCAGCTTTGGAAAGGTGACAGATACGGGACAAGATGAGGAGACGGGAAAAAGAAAGCCAGAAGGTGATGGGGATGGAAGTGAGAAAGGAAGAACAAGTTCACAAAAAAGCGAAATCAAGGTAAGATGAAATATCTTAAATCAAGGCAATACAGAGCTTGTTTTTATCTGACAAGATCATTATTGTATTGTATAAATTGTACCGTTTTAGACACATTTCTGTAATTTCCACTGACATGGTTTTAAAGCTATTGTATCCACTTTTTGCCCTCCAGTCATCTTAAAATGCACATATATAGATAAGGAAAATCTTTCTTTTTTTTCAGAGAGCATGCCCTCAAATGCCTCTAGCAAGCTCAGTTTTTGGAACTCAGTATTTATGTTGTCAGCCTCTGAGCATCAAGAGAACCCCTCAACTGCCCCATAGACTTCAATGTTAACTGACTACTTCTTGTGAGCAAAAACACAAATGTAGATACTTTCTAAACTCAGTCATTCTTCACATCAGTTACACAGATGACACATGTACATCCTCAGCAAAGTATCGTGATGCTCACGGTGAAAAAATGTCCGCAATTCGAACTATGGTTTTTAAGGTAAGGCATCTTGTTTGAGTGGTGCTTTAGTGGTGCTCTCTGTCTGTTATCACTGCTTCTGCCAAGCAATGACTCAGCATTCTCAGGCTCCACAAACATTAGCACAGAGAGGGGTATGCCGGTTGGTTAGAACATGGTAAGAATGGAGCTCGTTTTTTGGTGCAATGTTCCCACCTGCTTGTTGTCATGTGTCTTCTATTACACGTTTTCTGTAAAGATGGCGAACAGCCTGCCTCTCTTGTCATCTGTGATTGGTGGATTACCTTTAGGCAGTTGGTACCTTTTTATTTTTCCATGTGACTATTAATGTCACTGTTATTGTGTGTTAAAGGCAGATTAATGTGTACTGCCAGGGCTTTTTGTTTGACATGTGTTTAGAGTTTCAGTTTGGGAATAGGTGACAGCTTATGGAGGAGCAGACTAATAGCTTGGGATAGAAATTGTGTCACGTTATTGTGCTTATAATTCTCCAGAAATAAAAACAGGCCTACAGTCTCTTTTGATGATCCTGTGTGGCTGGTCAGTAATACTGATTAAATCCTGTTTTGACACAGTTTGTCAGGTTTGTGATGCTCTACATGTTTATACTGCAGTCATCTCCAATGTAAGATTTTGCATTCACTCTAACCCAGCATGACAACGCTATTTCTTTTATGCTGATGGTGTGCTTTGAAGTTTTTTCCTGTGCTGTCAGTTGATGTTTTTGGACACACACAGGTCATGTTTCTCTACATATGGAGCTAACTTTGCGAATTACCTTGTGTAGCATTATTATTGCCTCTAGCTGCTGTTTCTGGAATATGTATCACGTTGGCAGCCTGTTGTCTATCAAAGGTGGTGTGTGGTTAAATAAAGGTATGCAATACAAGGATGTGTGTTGCATACAAATTCACCTCTAAACAGTAATTTCACAGGTATTCAGCAAGTTGTTTTATTTCTAAATAGCTAAAACGATATGTTATTATGACACAATGGGAATGTGTTTTGTATCTCAGTGCTATACACGAGATTATACATCGATTATTTGTAAATGGGAAACCCATCTATACTGCTACCTAACTACTGTTAGTAGTTGTTAGTAGTTGACTCCTGCTAGTAGTTGACTGACTACTAATGGCTAACATTTTGTTTTATTATTATGCAAATGAAAGACAAGCAAACAAATCCAACTCTGAAATGGCATTTTATTATTGAGTCAACAAGAATTTACATTAGAAAATCTATGTTGATTACATCGGTTGATTACAATCCTGTGACCAGCTCTCACCTAATGCACTTCAGCTTCCACCTCCAGTTTTACATTTCAGCTTCTGAGTTTTCAAAACATTACATATCAGTTGATATGAGCTGTTTTTCAGCCATTATTGCCTCTGCAATTACATTCAGCTTCCAACCTTTGCTTTATTATTTCGCCTTTTGGCTTTTTGTGTTTTCTGCTAATGTCACTGGTGACAACCTTCAGTCTTATCATTTCTGTCAGTATGTTGAGTTTGGTGGTTTCATGTAATTCCCAGTCTAAACAACCAGAATCATTGATAACACCTATGTGCACATGCACAACCTTTAAGAATCTTTGAGGAGTTTGAAAATGTATAACTCAGCAGCAAGTTTTGTAAAATGATCAGTATTATTTTTTGAAGGGTCAGTTCACAAAACGTCTACAAAAACACATTTTCTCACTTCTAATGTTATCCATGCAGCAGGTTTTGAGATATCCAGCTCACATTTCTCTGGTCACACCAATACAATAGAGGTGACTGGAATTTCATTTGAGGTGCTCAAAGCACTAAGTATTGCATATTAAAAATTCAACAGCAATGTGACTTAACAAAAAAAAAACATAGGGTTTATTTCTTCTCTCTAAAGTAGTTCCAAAGACCACTGTTGACTCTGAAGTTTGTGGATGTTCTAGAGTAAAAGAGACCCTGTTCATGGAAAGAGATGTTACATTTTTGTCTCATTCTGGAGGTTAATTGTACCGGCATTCATTATATCTGTGTGTCAACCACAATGGAAAAGGCTTTTCTGGTTTAATCCATGCTGTGATGGAAAAAAACATTATATCTTATTAGTTTTATTCATAAACTAAACTAAGAAAGCCACATCGCAAGGTAGAGTACCTCTAAAGCTTTTCAGCCTTGGATATCAGTTGGAGGCTAGCACTGCCACTTAGTGGCCATGTCTTAACATTACAGCTGACTGACGCACCAGGCACACAGTCACAGATGCACAGGGCTGAAATCTGTTGCATTAAATCCACAAATGCAACAAGCCTTAATCTCTTTTTTAAGGCAATATTTTTTCACCAACAGAGAGTTTGCATTTTACATTTTCAAAAAAAATTGTAACTTATGATCTAACAATCATGTATGCTGAAATATACAGAAGAGGAATATTAATTTCAATATGTTGGCTTTTTAATTTCAGAAAAGTTAAAATTACTAAAAGAAGGATAGCAGCCAATTTTATTACACAGTCATGATACAGGGGCATCAACCACCTGACAAATTAACTCCACTAAGACCACTATATGCATGTGTATAAACAGAATGTTGCTTAAAAAAAGTATTTTCATGTCCAATTATGTTCCAATTATCATTGAATGAGTTTGATGTTTTATTACTGTGTCAAAGTGTCCAATCATGTTGTCACTGACTTAATATATTTGAATTAATGTGATATTGATGTGGGCAAATAAAAAATGTATTTAATTAGATAAAATATCTGAGAACATGTTCTCTTCTACAGTAATGATGGCTGGTGATTAAGAAGCAGTAGGTCAGAGGTGTACAGTAATAACAAAACATAACAGAATAGTTACAAAAAGGTATCATCAGATGACAAAACAAAATGTATTTTTTCGGTGTGTGGTGTGTAAAATACTGTTGTCAATAACTGCAACACTAGACATTTATTTTATTGCTTTTATTAGAAGTTGATGGCTTTTATCATCAGTATTTGCCAGGAAGTCCCTCTGGCCTGAAATGGTTGGGATCTCTTCCCTCCTGCCCCCAACGGTTTGCTGCCTGATCAGCCTCAGAGTCCTCGGCACCATGACCCATTCTTTCCTGTGCCCACTCTCTGGCATTACTGGAATAGGAAAAGAGATGATGAACAACAGCACAAGCATGGGACCAAACAAGTACTTTTCTAAACATAGTTACATAGTGCTGTAAAAGGTCCAAGATCAGAAACCAATTTCAGCAAGCAAGACTTATATATTGGCGTAGGCAGGAATACATAACATTGCTATAGTTGTAATTGTAAATTAGCATCTGAAGGAAACAGGACTTCAACACTGATTTTACATAATTCCAAAGATTCTGTGAGAGGATAGTGAACTAAGAGAAGAGTCTGGACCTATAATGGTCATTAGATTAATCTATATTTCACTAAGCAGGTTTTGAGTCGCATCTAGGTAGGCTTGCAGATTGCCTCATCAGGTGATGTTATTGTATCAGATGAAACATAGATCTATTTGTCATTTGTGTAGAAATGACAAACACTTTTGAATTATGTGATCTGGTAAAATATAAATGGAAAATAATAAAGGGCTAAAAAATTATCCCTGAGGCACTGCACAATTCACCAGTGGCAAAACAAAAGGGCCTTCGGATGAGATAAGAGTAAAACCAATCCAAATGGTTCTTAAACCCATCTGCAGCTTTATGAACAAATATTTCTTGTGTTTTGTTTTTTTCTACTCTTCACTCCTCACCTGATAACTTCAGCTGCCCATCTTCCCCCTGATCCCCTCTGAGCAGCATCATAGTTTCCTCTTGCATGAAAGTATTTGTCAGAGTTTTTCCAGTTCGCATCCCTCATGTCCTTGTAGGCTCGCAACATATCACGAGCCCCTGATCAGAGGGACAGAGGATAAGGTTTAGTAAAACAAATGAGAGAATTCAGAAAATAAAACATATAATGTAAAACACTACATCCTGCATGTGAGACATACAATTATACGCATTGTTCTTGTAAAAATGTTTAAAAAGGCCATGTTTCTAACCTTGAGCAGCTTCAACTGGAAACTTGTACCACTGAGCGTTGGTTTCCATAATTAGAATCAGAACAATTCCTGCTAGAAGCAATTTCATGGTTGTAGATGTCTAAAAGAAAAAAAAACAGGTCCATACAGTTCATCATTAAAACACACAAAATTATAAACATACATTAATATTCATCAGGTTCTATCACCAAATGAAAATGTAAACTTACTTTGCTGCACCAGTAGAGAATAGAGCACGTCTTAATTGTAGAATATCTTGTCAGTGAGGACTACTGGTGTGATTATTGCTTATATGCTGTTCTGAAACTGGCTGGGCTGCAGGATTTTAAAGTCATGGAAAATTCCAGAGCAATTGAGGAACAGTCTGGATTTTCCCAAAAACACACTGAGGACTTTCCATAGTTGTGCAAGTGCAGGTATTGACAAGGCCAGAGACAAATGCAAGTTATATAAACAGAAAGTGTAAGTGTGTTGTGTTATGAAAAATCTGTTTCTGTTTATCATTATAACTTTGCACCTTTACCTTAATAGATTCATATGCTACAATAGTTCTTTTTATATTTCTGTAGCAGTTGTTTTTGGATTTCTTATGGTTATGTGGTCTTCTTTAAATCAGAACATGGATGACCTTCCAAGAAAATACAAAAATATATTTATTGTTTTTGATGTTGGATCCGTATGGTCCACTGCTGCAGTTTTTTTCTTTTGTAGCTGTTGTGCATGCATGATTTCTATTAGAAAGAACTCTCAAACTCCCACCACATCTCTGCAGTACTGGAAACTGCACAGACCTTATTCAAATGAATGGCAGTTCATGATAAAGGAAAGTACAGAAGCTGATGTGCTGTCAGAAGTAGTCTGTTTGTTTAACTTAATACAAGCAACCACAATTTTTTAATACCTTGTAAACAGAATAATCTTGCTATTGTCTTTTTCTTTACATACTAAGTTTATGTACTACTTTGCTAATTTTACTAGCTCACTACTACCATGTACTGTATCTTGGGTAATGCACAGCACAAACTTATATTTAACATTTGTTGACTAGTACAGTTATTCAGCCATCATATAGATCCTCCTATATGCATCATCTCTCGAGCAAAGGGGCTTTACTCTGTGGGTTAGGGTTAGGGTTAGGCGTTATTATGAGGCATTATGTTTTCGGGTTGTCCATCTGTACACCCCATTCTCGTGAACGTGATATCTCAGTAACACCTTGAGGGATTTTCTTCAAATTTGGCACAAACGTTCACTTGTACTCAAGGATGAACTGATTTGGTTTTGGTGGTCAAAGGTCAAGGTCACTGTTGCCTCACAAAACATAGTTTTGGCCTTGTGACCATGATATCTCATTAACGCCTTGAGGGATTTTCTTCAAATTTTGAAGGATGAAGTGATTTGATTTTTGTGGGCAAAGGTAAAATTCAAGGTCACTGTGACTTTACAGAACACATTTTTGACCATAATTCACAATTTCATACGTTAAGTATGACACAATTTAACACAAATGTCCAGTAGGATGAAATGGTGAAGTGGTGACATTTTATATCTAAGTGGTCAAAGAACAAATTCACTGTGACATCATTATGTTTTGTAAAAATACCTCTGGCCATTATTTAATGATGTAAATCAGGAATGGAAGATTGTGAACATATGTCCTGCAACTTAGCTGGTTATAGCAGAGGCATACAACTGCGAGGTAGGAATTCTTTTTACATTATGTTTTTCTTTAGGCATAGTTTTTCATTCTTTATTCTATGTTTTATCATCTTACACTGTTTTCTTATCATCCCTTCCTTTAAAAGCCTAATCTTTTCTCTTGTCTCCCTCTGAAAGCGTGATGTTGGTTGATTTGCCACTTTTGATTAGTCTCTTGTGTGAGCCTCATTATCCCGTCACAGTTTGAATGCTCTTTCAAACCTTTTATTAAAATAATGAGCTTAAACAGGGTATGTTAACATTAAAATTTAAATATACACCTGACCAAATAACCAAAATATTTCTTTTATTTGTTTTAACAAAATAAGGTCTTAGGATTTAAAGAGAGGGTTCAAAAATAAGGCCTTTCATTTTTTTTAATTTATCAAATAACTTCATACAAAATGCAGTAAATAGAGCAAACCTAAATCACATCAATATTTGGTGTGACCACTTTAAAGCGGCACCAATTCTTCTAGCACACAGAAACCTCACAAGGCTCTGAGGGGCCCAAACCATCTGTAGCAGGACTCGTTGTTGTTCTTGTAACTGAAGATAGTTGTTTATGACTCTGGCTGTATGTTTGAGGTTGTTGCCAGGCTGCAGAATGAACTTCTGATTTCTCCCTGATGGTGCTACATGATGGATAAGAATCTAAACATCTAAAATGCCTAAAACCTTTGCGCAGTTCTATTGTTGCTCGTTCATTGGCCACTAAACAGAAAAGTCCAAATTTCTCTCGAGCCTTATCTTAGTTTTGACAGAGTATTGACCTGAGGCAAAATAAAGTTGTCGGACTGTGAAGTCTACAAAATTCCTCATTCTGTATATTTTATTTTAGAAAGTATTCATACCCCTTCAGTTTCTGCACTTTTTATTGTGTTATAGATTTGATTGTAAATTGATAAAACTGCCATTCTTGCCCATCAATCTACACATAATAACCCATAATGACAAAGTGAAAACATGTTTTTAGGCATTTTTGCAAATTTATTTGCAAAAAAACCCAAAAAAACAAAAGACAACTAAAACATGAGATAATACTAAGATTTTGGTAATTAAGTACAAAACTCAAACACATAAAAATCCAATTTTGTTGAGCTTTGATTATACAAGCAGGAACACAATTTCAAACCATAATAGTGCACATACAAATAACCACTATCACTATAAACAAAATAAGTTTTAAGTGGAATGATGTGTATTATTATTCTGATGGATTAATAGCATCATATTCCTGCAATAACCATGTACCTTTATTTTGGTAATTCCCACTTGGTCATGTCAGGTAAATATACACCTCATATAAACAGTAACACCATTTACAAGTAATTAGCAACTTTTTTTTATCAATTTACCTTTAATTCATAAATTTCAAGAACATGTGACTGTTGGGTTACAAATCACCAGAGGATAAATGTATCATATATCTTGTACCCACTAGTCTGCTACTTTAAACAACTTTTACAAATGTTTTGTATAATTCCATATCCTTAATGCAACACAGAGCTGTTGAAATGTGCTTTAAACACTTCACCATCTTTGAAATGATAATATAACTATAAATTTGATAAAGTAGTATTTTTAGAGAAAGACCACATATTACATATAAGAAATAATGTAGCACCTCATAAAATGTGCCATGGCATTGTTATGACCGTTCACTAACCCAGTGAAACTGCAGCTTGATTGACAACACTGACCTATCTGTTCTATCTAAGCCTCTTATCGTACCCTGACTGAAACTGCTCTTTGTGCTGCTGTGATGTGATAGCAGCTCTCTGAGCTTTTAACAGTGATTTTCTTTTTCGCTTGACACGTGAAGTATATACGTCTGCTTTTGCATGATTTTTTCTTTTGCCATAGTTCATTGCAGGTCATGTCATTTGATAATATAGATTTGTTGTTTCATTTTAGATCGCACAGTCTCCCCAACCACAAACTATTTTGGTGACCTTGATCTCTTAGAATGCTTAATGTTAAAGATTTGATGTTAGAGAAAAGATTTTGGTAAAGTTTATACTTGCAGATACTTCATACTTAAGGAAATTAGTATTGTAATGAAATGACTAAGACCATGAGTCACACCATATTAACCATCTACATCTAAGAGTGATACATAAAATCATATATGGTCTCATATTTGTTGGCCCACCTGTTGATTGTGTAGCTGTGCATATCTTAAGGCCTATAAATATGCTGTAAAAACACAGCACATTATTCCCAAGGCTGTTGTGCACTTGCTCAGATGTGTTGCTTTAGTGCTTATAACAATAGCGGGGTTGATTGCGATATAATGGCTCTAAAATTACCTCGAGTCTGTGAGTGCTCATGAACCTCTCTTTTATAGTTTCAAATAAAACAACATCCCAGAGACTGAACAAATCTTTGTGAAGAAATTACGTGATGTACTGAAAAGCGCTGGAGGATTAAAGCATGGCTTAGGCTGTGCTGATGAATGTGTTGTTTTGAGTTCAGAGAAGACTCTGTGACAGGCTAATAAATATTCATCGCAAAGATAGTGGGAGAAAAAGTGAGGGTGAGGAAGAGAGCTGATGCAATGAGAAGTTTGGAACAGGAAAAGCTGTTTGTGTCTAGTGTCTCAAGAATGAATGCACTGTGTATGCAATAGATTAAGTGGATTCCACACTTGCCATAAAGGAGAACCAACAAGGCTGTACCAGAAGACTATCAGCTTTACAGGGATGCACAAAAATGACACATGGTGGGCAATCACAAGAGAGGTGTCAGACAGAAATCTAGGTGGTAGAACAAAGGAACAAACATCAAACTGAGACTCAACACAGCAGAGCAATGAACTGATGAAGCACTGTAATCCAAGATCAAGATGTGGCAAATTGAAAATCTTTCCCAGAAATCACCTTTTATTGTTTGTCAGTCAGGTAAAGTTGCCAATTCAATATGTCAGAAATTGAGACATATAAAACACATGTCCATGGATAATTAATCAAAGCCTATTTTCTTCCTATATTCTTTGGCAAACTGCATTTGTAGCCAGTAGAAGGCTGTTCCAATATACATAAGATTTAAGCTTTGTGTTATACAAGTATTATTATTTACAGTTCAATTTATAGATGATAGATAAATCAAGTCACATCCTTTTTGTTTATTTTGCCCAAAATAGCAAATCACAAAATTTGCCTCAAAGCAGTTTACAATCTGTACCACATATGACACCTTCTATTTTTAGACCCTCAATTCTGACAAGTGAAAACTCCCCAAAATAAACCTCTAATGGGAAAATGGAGAAACCTCAGGAATTGCAATATAATGGATTCAGATGTCGTTTAGAATAGATAGAGAAAATAAATAACCATATGACCATAATAAATGTATAGTTTGGTGCAAATTATATTAGCTATATCAATCACCATTCATATACTAATATAGGCAATTAATTATGATTTATTTTTTTCAACTAGTTGTTCCCTACATAATGACCTTTACCTTTAACTGCTAGTGAGACACTAAATGCATGTTGTAAGTTAAGTTGTATTAGTCAAAGACTAAAGTCAAGTCAAATTTTATTCATATAGTCCAGTATCACAAATTATGAGCACACATCTGTTTTCACTGACCGCGGGCTATCTTATTTAACATAT